CCCCAAAACCCCAAAACCCCATTTGAACAAGATTTGACTATAAAAAGAGAATGAATCTAGATTAAATATCAAATTAAATAAATCAATCAAATGAATAAGACTATTAAGACTGCGTTAACTCAAATCGCAAATAAGAGACCCTTCGGCACCTATGCTAATGGTGTTCAGCCAGTACTAACCACAGCTAAGGTCGGAGATGTGAATCTTAAGAATAGAGTCGTGATGAGTGCTTTAACAAGACAAAAGGCTCCAAGAGAGGGATCTAATAGAGGTGTTCCAAGTGAATTACATCAAGAGTATTACTCTTCAAGAGCAGAAGATGCAGGTTTTGTGCTAACTGAATGCTCCTCTGTCTCAGAAGATGGAGACTCCTTCCCAGGAAGTACTGGTATTTACAACGACTAACAAGTCGAAGGGTGGAAGAAAGTAACTGAAGCAGTCCACAGCAAGGATGGAAGAATTTTCCTATAAATATGGCATGCTGGCAGAGCAGCTCATCCAGATTAAATAGGTGGCAGAACTCCAATATCATCTTCAGCAATCGCTATAGATTCCAAGGTTTGGGCAGGAGGAAAATTGTAGCCTCATGTAGTACCAAAAGAAGCAACTCTTGATGATATTAAGAGAGTAATTGAAGCATTTAGAGCTGGAGCTGAGAGAGCAAAGTAAGCTGGTTTCGATGGAGTTGAGCTTCATGGTGCTAATGGCTATTTCATTGATCAGTTCTTGAGAGATGGAGTAAACAAGAGGACTGATAACTATGGAGGTTCATTAGAAAACAGATCAAGACTTTGCTTTGAAGTCTTAGATTAACTGATATCTGTATTTGGAAGTTAGAGAGTCGGAGTTAAGTTATCTCCCGTCAACGATTATAACAAGATGGAAGACTCTGATCCAATTGCTCTTGTTAGTCACTTGATTCCAAAGTTGAATGAGAGAAAATTGGGTTTTGTTGAACTTACTGAGGGCTTTAGTTTAGAAGGCAGAGATGCAGCCTTGAGAAAGAAGTTCTATGAAAACAGAACAGAGAAGTCTTTCAGAGAAATATTTAAGAGATAATTTGATGGAACATATATTACTAATCACGGAATGACTCAGGACTCTGCCAACGAAACAATCTAAAAGGGTCATACTGACTTAGTATCATTCGGTCAGCTTTACGTTGCTAACCGTGATTTGGTTCATAAATTTAGGACTGGTGCTCCCCTCAACAAGATGTAGTTTGCAGATCCCAAGTAACTCATGGCCTATCTTTATGGAGAACTAGGAGCTCTAGGATACACTGATACCTCAGTTTATGAGCCAAAGTAAAAATGATTTTATCTAGAATTACTTCATTATTTCTAAATAATGTTGTGGTCTTTATTTAATTTTATGGATTCATTTCTCGATATATCAACTCTTATTTGTCGGGGTTTTGGGGTTTTGGGGTTTTGGGG